ACCTACCTGAGCTATGGATGATAAACTCCATGTATTTCTCCAATACAAACACAAATATGTTTATTTAGAGAGGTGTGATATTTCAATAATAGATGGGTGAGTGAAAATACAGGGCTTTTGTTAGGAAAAATATATATATCAAAGTTTGAAGGAAATATGTTCTTTATGCCACAATAATAAACATTCTTCAAATATTTGGGTTAATGATGATATAACAGGGAAATAGCTATTATGGATTAGAATGCAATGTTTGTTTTTATCTTGCTCTGATGCCTATTAGAAGAGATTAATATTGTTTTGACGTTGCAATTTAGTATTTAAGTGTAAACAAGCTTGGATCTTTGATGTGGTTCACCAGATAGGTTTTTTACTATCCCCCTCTCTCTCTTTCTCCCCCCCCCCCCCCCTCTCTCTTTCTCTTTCTCTCCCCATCTCTCTCTCTCTCTCTCTCTTTCTGCATAGTCTTTCTCCATATCTGTCTATCTTTTTCCTCTCACTATCTTTTTTTCTCTGCTCTCTACTCTTACCCTTTCTCTCCCCCCCCCCCTCCTCTCTCTCTCTCTCACTCTCTCACTCTCTCACTTTCTCTCTCTCTCTTTCTTTTTCCCTCTCTCTCTTTCTCTCTTTCCCTCCCTCTCTCTCTTTCCCTCCCTCTCTCTCTCTCTCTCTTTCTCCCTCACTATCTCTCTTTTCTTCCATCACCCTGTCCACCACTTGACACATGATGATGATCTGAACAAACGTCACATGACTGAGCTGTACCTACTAGAATGAATAGACATACATCTCTTGACACGAACTAATCATCTCAGAGCAAATCATTTCACCCCTCTCTCCATCCAACCAGGCAGATGTACATGCTTTAACCATTCACATTCCTACATGTCCAATCTCATGCTTGTTTGCATATCATTCATCCTTCTGTGGCATTCAAGGGGTTAATTTGAAATCTGTGGAAAGTGAACTGACCTCAAATTGGACATCTTTCAGTCAGGCAATGGGTTGAGTGGCTGAGTGGTCTCCTATATTTCTCACTCAGTAAAATATAATCCAATTTACTTTATAAGATGAGCTTATCTGAACCTCTATTATTATGATTTTAAAGGGAATCGGTTCCAAAATAATACAAAACATTTTTTTATGTAGGTTTTGGTGCCATGCTGATATACTATATTCAAATTTCAGAAGATAACTGAATGGAAATATTGCAATTTGAGATTACACTCTAGAATAATGGTAAAAAAGTGATTTGTGAGTAGGCTAATAATTACATTGTACGTTGATACAGTTCAATTGTATGCACTTACAAATACAGTTCATGATATGGAATGTGTAAATCCTTGAGTGTGTGAAAGATTGATTTATTTTGGGAGGGGAGAATCAATATCTTCTCATGATGTACATTTATATTTGGGATGATTCTTTCCCTTTAATGTTTGTTGTTTTTCTTGGGAGAGTGAATACCAAAGCAATAATGGGATAGCCCAGGCTTTAAAAATTACAAAGGGACCACAAAACTCTGAAGGAATACAAATCATAATACCCACATAATACCTGATAGTTGAAGAGATTAATGATTTATGCTCATAATCTTGACAGAGATTGATTTTGTGCACCACTCGTAAAGTTGCTGGAGGGTTGAACATAGTGCATTGGTATTCAAAGTGTCAATTTAAAGAACAAGATACTGATCAGAAATGATGTGTTCAAAATATTTTTTAGAATTTGTGACAATAGCCCTATTTTCCCTTATTTTCCTTAGTTGAATTAAGCCAAACATGTTCCCATTAATGAGAAGTGTACTGTGGATTTTTGGTAAAAAGTTTAAGATTGGTATTTAAGAAGCAAAATCATAGCAAAAAGAAGGGAATTAAGCCCATATATTAGAGATATTCCTCACTGATCCAACCTTCCAGTGTTTACAGGAGAGCTCTAGTGTACCTTATAATGTGAAAACTAGTCTTCCTATTGTGTTAAGCTTTTTAAGTACAATGCCTACACACTGCACCCTTAAAATGAAATATAAAGAGACTCTTTTGAGAAGTAAAATAAGAAAGAAAAAAAATTAGACTGCATATGTATAGAGTAGCTCTTCAATGACTGACAAGAAGATTCTATACAAACAACAAACCAATAGTAGTTTGCCTTGATGTCAGAGTGGGTAGAGGGAGGGAGGGGAGGTAGGGGGCGTGGGGGGGGGGGGTCTGGGAGCGGGTGGTAATGACTTACAGTTGATGGAAATTCCTGATTTTGTTTTTAGTTCCAAAGAGGACTAACTTGAACCTGTGATGTATAAGGTCAATTTTGTAGACAGAATTTGTTTGTTGTAGTCATCAATTTTCAACGTCATTCACATAAATTGTGTATCATTGGAGTGGGGTATAGCCTTGACATAGGCTGGTCCTGAAGAGAGCTTGTCTCATGTCTGCTAAAATGATCTCTTCACATGTTATTTTGAACAGTTTGCACACAGACCTTTTACTTTTTTCACACTTTTCTTTGTTTGTCTGTTTTCATTTTCAAGATGATGATTTTGTTGTAAACAAATCATGTTTGATCATCAATTGTTCCTCGAAAATGTTCTCTGTTAGAAGCTATATGTTGTATTAATTACCTTAATTAATCACTGATGCACAAGAAAGAGAATAATCTCTAAGCACTATTGAATAGCATCTTGTAGAAGTAATGTTTATAACATGATGGGGTCAGTACGTCATTAAACTTTCATCCATCCCAAGGACTTCTCTTTCTATCCCTCCTAGCACTGTGCAATCAATAATACCCACTGTCCTTCGCTTCATTATTGTCTGCATGGGCATCACTTAAACAAATTACAATAGATGGGACTATTGATGTCCAGACCATGCTCATACAGCCAGCATATATTGCAGTGCAAGGGACTATTGACATTTTTAGAGCAATCAATACATATCTATTGTGGATTATTACACTTCAGATGAACGCAATAACCTACTGTCAATATCCTTGGTTCTTTTCAAGATTGGCTCCAAAATGCTTTCGCTTCTCTTAAATATTTATATCCCCATCCTATACGTACGTCATGCATTGAGAGAGCAAATAGACTTGCGTTCTGGGGAAGATATTGCTGTTTGTGTTTCAGACCTTCTACAGCTCTGTCTTTAAATGTCTTCCTTTATCTTCAACTTTTGCGGCCGTGCAAATAATGGAATCTTTCCTTAGTGGTTTGTCTGTTTAATTTCCCTGTAGGTTCATGAATACATTTAAAATGTGCAATCCGCAAGGACAGAAGTCCTGTATGTGCATAAGGTATCACAATGACAAAGCCATTCTACGTATTGATTTGTTAGGGAACAACAATATGTATTAACAAGGAATTCCATCTATATATTCTTTCTAAATTGGGTCTATCTTAAAATGTCAACATGAACAATGCCACTAAATGAAACTAACAAATATATAATAATGACATTGTTCAACTAAAGAAATCATTTTTTGAAACACTTCAAAGGAAAATTGCTTTTGGTTTTGATTAGGGCAGTGATTTTGCTAATCCTCTATTTATGTACCGGTAGTTCTTTTAGTGAGGTTGCAGGAATTTCTTGATTATTATGAAGTGACTTTAAAAGAAACTTTGACATGAATGGAAATGACTCATGAATGTCCTTTGTAACCAAACAATAAGCATACAGATTAGGACCGTTAGACATAAATCTTGTAAAGGTGAATGTATAGAACATTGTTAATCTTCAGTCACAGAAGAAACTTGGACATTTGCCAACTTCTTTGAAAAAGTTTAAAATGACATATTGATTACTTTTTGTATCTACAAGTTTCAAGGAAGAAATTGAATGATTCATTACATCCGTGTTCTGAAGATCGAATACCTAGAAATTAAGCCTGAGTCATTACGGTTTTTGTGCTAAACGGTTAACCGTTGAAAGTATACGGGCGGTTTCGTTTAACCGTTTAATAATAATCTGAAAAAGTGAAAATACAGTATTTTTAATAGTGCTGTAGCTCGGAACCATGCTGGTCTTCAGACTGTCGGGCTGAGCATTCCCAGCCCCGGACTATGGACAAATTGGGTCATCCTGATAAACAGAGACCAGTAATAAACAACATAAAACATGTCTTATTATTCCTCATCTGAATTTGATATCATGATTAACCTTGCAAAGTTACTCTGTGAAGTTAGTTGATCTGTGACGTGTTTATATATGCCTTTGCAATGCAATGTTTGCACATGGTCAGGGAGAGAGCTCCCTGCATGTATCATTGCCATATGAAATTATGTGGAAGTGTGTATCACACACACCCAAGACACACCCTGCAATGAGCTGATCCAAGTTAGTGACCAATCAGGAAGGTTCTCTAGCTATGTGGGTGGAGTTTGATACCAGCATAAATTACAGGTTGGTGACCGCGCGTGCTTTCACCGTACCCAGTTCAGTGGGAGGTCAAGAAGCCACGCCCACATGTGTGCATGTGACAAGCATGAGCTCTCCATCTGTGTGTATGTACAGTGTATTTGGGCGCCGGAGGTTTGTGTGTACATGTGTGTGTGACTGAGAGAGCATGCATATGGGCTAGCATGTCCCTGCATGTCCCTGCATGGACGAGGCAGGGACATGAGTGAAGATCGAAGTAAGAAAGGGTGGCTGTGTTAATCGGCTGAATTGAAGAATGATCAAAAACTTAAATTACTCACAAATAATATCCAAGACTTTGTTGATTGATATTTCTAAAACTTCAATTATTATTGTTATCAATATTTTTGTATTTTATTTATATATGAACATTATTTTAGGGGGCGAGTCGGCAAGGGATGGATATTAATATTGAGAGAGAGAGAGAGAGAGAGAGAGAGACTCGGGGGAGAAGGGATGTGAGAGGAACTGACCATCGAATGTGTAAACATTTAGAAAGTTGTGAGCTGAGAGTGCAGTAATAAGAAAAGGTACATGAGCGATGAACACATTGCAGAGAGAAGGGAATAAAGAGGGTGAGAAAAGAGAGAAGGGGGCTGGTTGTTTTATTGTTTACAAATTCATTCATGGGGATTACTGCTGCCAGAAAGCTAGCGCGCAGCGGACAGGGTGTAACATTACACTGCGGTTTCTTTGATTATCTTTATCATCGGCTATTAGCACATTCCAAAATGTATGCAAATAACGGTTAACCGGAGCGAGAAATGCTAAACGGTTTTGATGAATGCGGTCGGATAACCGTCGGTTAAACGGTTTGACTCAGGCCTACTAGAAATGTTCTTTGCTCTGTGATTCTAAACTATACAGAAGCAGAGTCTAGCTTGGGCAATCATGTTAACCATTAAGTTTGCAAAACTGTGAGAGAAAAAATATGTTATTAGGAATAAATAGTACAGGTTACACCAACAAAAGAATCTCTCTTTTCAACATGAAATTTCTAAAGGGGATTGTATGATGCTATATGGTACTATATGGAGAAGATGATTCATTTACAGAACAAAATCTTTAAAAGAGAGACATCCCATTTCTATCCATCTGTAATTTGTGGTTCTTAAAAATAAAAAAAAAAGGAAAAAAGGGATTGAGAGCACCTTTGAGATAAAGCATTTAAGTGCAAAACATGAGAAGTGAAACATACTTGTATGTCATTCTTCATTAAGACATTGAAACTCAAGCTGCTCCATAATTAGGAGTCATTTACACTAAAGCATTCCATACTTTAATCTTTGAGACAGGACCTCGGTAGATTTCTTGAATTCCTGGGTAATATGAACTGCATTCCAACTCTGCACTTATGCTGAACTTATGTTGTACTGTCTTGAACTTGAAAGATTTTGTTTTTGTCTTTGAGCTGGTCAATTTGCAAAGACCAAAAAGGACTATGTGAGAATGTACTTTCTCATTCCTAGAACATAATGGAATGAGATATTGGAAGGTATATATAGGCTTTCAGAATCAAGATAAATCGTCATTTGATTCACCATGTAGAATTAATATCTGTAAGTATTGATAATACTAACAAGATGCTAAATAAAATGATGTACTTTGAAGAAATGGCCGTAAGAGTAAAAGAGAAAAGAAAAAATAGCTGTAAGTAAAAAGTTGCAAAAGAAGAATGTAGGAGTGAATTTGGAATAAGGAATAAAACCTGGTAGTTGAAGGAAACAACATAATAAATCTAAAGGACCAGCCTAGTTGAATCATCATTAAGAAGAGGATTGAAATTGTAAGAAATATGTTTAAATAAATATAAGTGAAAAATCCAATTTCTTCTTGTATTGATTTATTTTGATTATTTAATTAATTGATTAAATTATTCATTTGTACTTCAATTGATTGATAGATTGATTAGTTCATTTAATGGACCATCCTCATCAGCATATTAACCTATACAATACCAGTAAATTTCTTTCTGTCAAATCAATAGAAGAATATCAGAAAATTTTTGCTTGTCCCATGCCACACCACACTATTTATCTTTGTACTGTATCTTCATGCACTGATTACTAGAATGCATTGACAAATGTATCTACAAATGTATATACAATGCAAAGTAACAAGTTCATGACAAACCAGAAACACATGCACCTGTACCTGATTTAACACATCATTAGTCAATACCAATACCTCGCCTCTCCTTCTCTAAATTGATATATAATTCTCTTGCTTGGACTACCATGCATAAAATTGGGGGCCCTTGTTTAGAGTGAAGTTGCTAAAAACGGATTGTGGGGAAAGGGTTTGCGTGCGATGTTGTACATGTGCATGATGTGGCTTATTTGTGACCGTGCAGCATCTGTTCGTGTGAGCTTGAGGGTGAATTTGAGATGGAGGAGGATGTGGATGTTGTCTTCTAATGTCATAGTCACTCATACTGCCATATAATGGATCAAGCCATTGAGGGCGCTATTTAATGGGGACCCTGGGGGGGGGGGGGGGGGGGGGGGGGGGGGGGGGGGGGGGGGGGGGGGGCAGATGAAATACAAGAGATATATTGATGGAGGGGAAATTCTTTTCCACATTTCCTTCCTTTTCTCCTCTCTCTTGTATTTATTCATTTATTTGCTAGCCATTTTATCATGGGGTACCCCACTCCTTATAGTATATTATAGCTAGGCCTCTGGCAGATCATACTCAAATGAAAATACTTACAAATAACTCTTCCTTATTTAAGAATGATGCTGAATACTTTAGTCAGCATCATAAAGCTGTGCCAAAGTTGCATGTTGCTAGGTTTTTAGGTTGTTAGGTCTAAAATTGAATACAGAGTTTGATATGGGGTTATTGAACCATTAATCTCAATAAGACATATAAATGAATTGCTACCAAACTATTTCAGTATATGGGTGCTTTTCTTTTCTCTGTTACTTCAATGCTTATGATGTGATGCATGATTTCAATGACTTAAAACGACCACCCAGCTAGCGACCAACTGGTCAATATATAGGATCACTGACCAATAGATCCCCCACTTATAGTTATTGACCACTCAGACATTGGGCCACCGATAATCTATATGGTATAGCATATATTGAATTTTCAATAGGCTGTAAAACAAATTAAAAGATGCTCAGAGTACCTTAGTTTCAATGAGTGAATACTTTATCTTTGATGTCTGGTATTTTCCTAAGTCCCTCACTATACCGGTAATTCTCTCAAGGAGAAACACTTGTGATGTTGAAAATAGGAAGAGTGAATATGTTTTTGTTTCTTCACTATAACTTTTTTTATAGGTTTCTCTTACCAATTTCCTTAGCATCCAACACTTGGAAAGTGTCACTCTACTAATTTTGCTCTGTTCTGCTCTGTTTTCTTACCAAACTTTAAAAAGAATAAGATCGACTTTTTCTAAACAACAACAATGGCATATCTACTGCTTGTTATTGTTGTTGTTTCGTTTGAGAAGCATATATTCCAGGGTTTGTATTTCATTATTCTTCCTAAATGTCAATGGATTAGACAAAGTTATTTTGATCTCCTAGTCCACTCCATTACAAGCCATATTAGGAGGTGTATCCTGGATGACAGCAAGTGTTTTGAGAAACCTCTTTCACACCTCACGATTTCAGACTCTTAACTTCTGATACCACTTTCATACTTAAAGGTAAGTGGGCCTTGAAACGAAACCTGGCGTGAATATTTAATCGTTCCCAGCGATTCCTATTGTCTGTTGTTTGCAAACACTGAGTTTATAATGATAATAATACAGCTTCGGCCCTTTGGTCCAAGCTCTATCGATCACCTTTCTAAATCGTAAAGACTGGAAATATTGGATCAAGCATCCCTATGGAACCATAACACCCCCCATGGTGTGGTCTAATCCCGCCCCACCTTTTGTGATGAGGCGCCAGGGAATGGTGAAAGGGGGCTCCATGGTGGCCTGAACGTGTCCTTTTTAATAGATCAGATATTGATGGGTGAATTGAGGGAATTAGATGGGATAAGAAGGGATTAGAAGGGATTAATTAATCAGCTTAGACTAGTGACAAGATGTCTAGCTTGGTCTGTCATAGTCTAGTGCATAAATTCATCTTTGGTCTTTTGGGAACAAGAAGGGTGTTACTCCAATTCTGACTTCTTACAACTATTCACAACTCATTTTGTTCTGTTAAGAATAATACATGTTTAGTGACCTAGCTGGCTGTTTCATGGCATTGTGAACTCTTTACCAAATAAAAGACTTGGGACTCTATGTTAGATGTCATCAGTCATTATACAGTAACAAGCTGAGCGCAAGAATGGTTTTACATGGAGCGTTACCGAGTGCATAGCCATTGAACATATTTATTTCATTTGTTCCCAGCAATGCTGGTAAGTCATTAGCAGACATTTTCCCACCCTTGTCATCCCAACTACATACAAGGACAGTGTTGTTCAACTACCTGTGAACAATCATCATTAATAAGGTTAGTTGAGAGCTAAAAGGGCATTAGTTTTGTGTGAATTCAAGTGAGTAAATACCCTTTCTGTTACTCAGCAGATGAAATATCACTTCAGGAAGTAATTGAGCACATGTTGCATGGTCCGTTTGCAAATGTTTACAAAAGACTGGGTGTAGTTGCTAAGGTCAAAGAGTTGAAAGTCGTTGATGAGGGGGACAGAGACTGGAAGAGGGACATGGTGTATATGAGGGAGGGGTCAAAAACAAAAATACACAATATATTGTTTTACTGATTCACATAATTTGTTCTACGTCGGTGGGGTGACAAAACCTTGTATCTCAAAAATCATGAATTTTCAGGAGAGCGAAAAAAACCTTTCCTGTCTCAACAGATTTTGTGCTGTGACACCGTCCTTTGTGTGGAATTTGTGAAAAACCAGAGACAGGAGGCGTTTCATGTATTTATCAGGTGGTGTCGTAGGCCATTAGGTACAAAATTATGCAAAAAAATCAAAATCTCAAAAAATTGAGATACGAGGTTTTGTCACCCCACCGACGTTGGTAAATTGCAGTTAATTTTAGGTTTGGACAAATGAAATGTTTGATTTTTCCGAGGTATGATGGGACAAACTTAAACAGTGATATGGAGTTAACTAGATCAAGAATGTGTGTGTTGTGTGTGTGTGTGAGAGAGAGAGAGAGAGAGAGAGAGAGAGAGAGAGAGAAGGGGGGGGGAGCAAGAAACCAAGCAATAGAGTTTGCCAAATGCATAAGTAAAGTAATGTGTATCACATCACTATGTATATTTTAATACAAGCAACTAATTGATTTGCCAAAAGTTTCTTTCCGTCTGTGACCTAAACCCATGACGAGACAGATCTACCGAGGAGTACTGAAGGATGCAATGATACCTTCTAATATTGCTGTCAAGTGGTCTAGTAGGGGATATCTGATATACAGGGCGTATCATAATAAAGGATATTGAAGTTTAATGACGATTTATATGATCACTACTGATTTCATAATCAAGCATTTTATGTCTGTTGTAAAGGACAGAATGTCCTCTTTTTAATGACACCCCGATCATACTACTACTGTCACAGTTGACTGAATAACAAAGCATTGCTGTCCACCATGTGAAAGGTGCACTGTGACAAGTTAGCATTCACAGATAAATTCTAAAGATTAGTGCTTGTGTCAGCCCCGACATATCGAAATGATGAACAATGAGTGGATTATGTGTCTAAGAAGGAAATGTTATCAAACTTGGCACAGTGCACCTTTCACATGGTGGACAGCAATGCTTTGTTATTCAGTCAACTGTGACAGTAGTAGTATGATCGGGGTGTCATTAAAAAGAGGACATTCTGTCCTTTACAACAGACATAAAATGCTTGATTATGAAATCAGTAGTGATCATATAAATCGTCATTAAACTTCAATATCCTTTATTATGATACGCCCTGTATACTACCCTAGGCTTTATGGAATGCATTATAAACTCCTTTTTTTCACTTTGAAATTGACTAATATGATCTGGATTACTTAAGATGTTTTGCACTTTAGGTTATGAATGTGATGTTATATTTAAATGCTGTCTTTCACCAATGTGTACTTTCTCTTTGATGAAAGATATTCAACTGTTTTTTTTTTCTTTTTGTTCTTGAGTAAAATTGTGTTATTGTGGTGAAATTATCTCCTATTGATATTTTCAACTTTTCTTGAATGCTCAGTTGATTATTTAACAGAACGGATGATTGAAAATACCCCGGAAACAGAGATACAATTTACGGGGGTAGGAGATTAAGTGAGTCTTCTCCCCCCCCCCCCCCTTAATGTTGTAAGATTCTGTTGAAAGCAAAAATACATCAGTCAAATTTTGTATCAAATTTGTTATAATTCCCCTGTTTATGGTTAACTCTTTGAAGAACAAAAATGTTACATGTAAATGTAGCAAGATTGTTTCCCTGTACAGTTTTATAATTTTAACTAGGCCAAATTATAAAGGTATTGAGGTTCCCGGATACGTCTCCTGTTCCCCATGGTTCATAATTTCACTCAGGCTCTGTATCAATTCAACATATGGATGGTTAATGTATAGATGGAAAATGAAATGGAACACCGACTTTGTAAAGGGGTTGTCTGGCTGCATTTCTTGAACTATGAATGGATGAATGGTTATAGCTCCAGAGAAAGAAAGGGATTAAGATACATTCAGGCCTTACCAGCTGTACAAATGAGAGCCCTTTCGTGTGCAAGGGTCTGTATCAGACACAATTGGCCTGTTCACATAGAGAATAAGGTTGACGTTTAAAATGGTATGTTGTGAAATGATTGGATTGACTAACGCTGACAGACATGTAAAGCACATAGACCTCTGTATAGGTAATATTAGTCCATGCAGACTGGCCTGGATATGTTGGAAAGTTTTAAAAAGCATCCTGAAGAAAAATTGAGTGGCTGGCTCCAAATAATATTTTGTGTGCACCAGACCGATACGCTCATCACAAACTAGCTCGGACAGGCACAAATTAGCCCACTATTTCCCAAATAGCGGGATATTTTGGAAACATGCAAGACCAAGATATGGCAAGATTTCTAGGGATATTTTCTCTGGGGATAGTTAAATAGTGGGTTGTTTGGCAAACTGGAGCTGATGAGGACAGGCCTATTTGCACTGATGATCTTGCTCACTGGTTTGTATTTCACTACCAGACACAGAACATGCCACTGGCACCTCTGCCTGCTCTAGATGTTTGCATTGATAGATGCACAAATATGCCCCTCCCCCTTGTACATCATAGTTCTGATGTGAAGAAGGGTTAGTTGAAATGTAAATTACATTAGGTGTCTGCTAAAATTGTACAAAATGCTTGTCCCCTTTTTGTGTCTGACTATGTGTTTTTCATTACTAGACTTTGTGTGGAAGGGTCCTTCGAAATGTGAATGACATTAAGACATTTTAGATCGTTTGATTTAATCTAAATGGTTCATTTAAGTTACTAAGAATTACATCATTGTTAATTACCTGATTAAATCCAAGTAACCTATTGCATAACAGGGAATAACTTACAAAAGATTTCCCATGTAAAGGACCCCTGAGTTTCTGAGAACATTATTGACTGTTAAAGATTTGTTTATGAACTTTGCAAAGTTCATCTTCCCATGGTATCAAAATAATGAAAAATTCTTTACTCCGTTCCCAAAACAAACTGATCTTGTCATCTGCTAAGCTAGTATTAGAGCCAAAAGGGCATTAACACTATGTAAAATATATATATCTTTTAAAGCCTGTCTATACTAGTTTGGCCAGGAGGGATTAGACCTTCCTGCAAGGTCATTGACAGGTAGTTACCTCATCAAATCAGCTCTCAATTAACATAAGAAAAAGGGGACCATAGGGGACCAACAGGCACCACTTAGGCATTGTTTGCTATATAGAGGGCGCAAGTAGCTACAACAAGTAATGCAGTACTGCTTTAACCCAGAGTGTACACTCTTCTGGCTCTCAGCAGATCTCTTCTCCTAATGCATTCAACATTGATTGAAGATGATTACTTTGGAAGAATAAATATCTAAGGTCGCTCCTAGGTCATGCTATTGACCTTGCTCTTACAGTGAACTTGGTAGCATTTTGTCAAGCTTCACTGAGCCGAGGGGTAAATTTTGTCTATTTTTCCCACCATTTGTTTTTCTTGCCACAATCAGTTGACTATATATATGCATTGTCCTATGTGGCCTTCTGAACCCAATATTTAGAAACAATTGAAACAAATGGAGCTTTGCATAACAGTAAATAAAGAAAGGTGTTACAGCTCAAGAGCTCTGAATTATTTACCAAACACATAATCAATACAGAGTATCTACAAATCCTTCTGTAACAAGTGTTATCACTTTCAGGTACATGCTTGGAACGCACTTCAGAATATCAGCCGTGAAACAATGACATTTGGTATTTCAAAATTAAAGAAGAAAACACCCATATCGATCTTTGAATGTGAACGTTGGAGGCAGTAACTGATGCACTTCCGATTTTGACGGGCAACAACCTTTGAGAGGCTTAGGGCTCTAGATTTATATAAGAAAATCCAGAGGCATGCACTTCTGCATTTCAAATGTCACTCTGTCAAATAGGAAAGTATTCTATGTCAATCAGTCCGTCCTCATATCCAACGTATGATTGACAATCGCACAGGTTCTCTCAATTTCTATTCATCGTCAATATCGATTGTTATTTTATGTCACCTTCTAACTCTGCATTTCTTGGGACCTGCATCATTTCTCCCTCTTCCCTGTTTTGATATCGGTGGCGCATTGCTAATATTCACACCTTGTGTTCCCAGGTTTGTTGATATGTGACTTGCTTGTCACGCGCTTGTCAAATGTTCTGATTTGTGTCCCTGTTAGGGTTGGCTTTGGGATTTGTTTTCAACGTCAACGATGCCATATTGAATAGATTTTCCAATCTTGTTTTAAGTGTGGTATTTGCAGACTTCCTAGAACCAATGACAAATAAATTGTGTGACAAATGGTACAATCTCTCTGCCCCCCCCCCTCTCTCTCTCTCTCTCTCTCTCTCTGTCTCTCCATCTTTCTCTCTTTTGTCTCTCTCTATCATTTTCTTCTGTCTGCCTGTGTGTTTCAGATGAGAGAAAATGGTGCTAAGGTATTGAATTCAATGCTAGATGTTCAAAAAAGATATCTGAAAGTTTGAGTGAAAAGGACCATTATTAATTCTTCCAAATACGATGTACAATACACCTTTCTGGCTCTCAGTATAACAAGTAATATTCAATTGCTAATACTCTTCATCTCCACAAACCAATCCCTCTGAGCAGTTCTCTAATAACATAGACCTTTACCTACTCCATTCCAAGCTCTCACTAGCTCTCAGGAAACATAAAGTCTGCCCCATTTCCGATCTATCTCCCCAGCGCTCCACCAAATATTCCCATCTGCCCCTATTGTGTTTTATCCATCTCAAGAGAGGGAGAGAGGGAGGGAAGGAGAGAAGGAGCTAGGGAAGCGAGGAGGTAGAGAGAGAGAGAGAGAGAGAGAGAGAGAGAGAGAGAGAGAGAGAGGGAGAGAGAGAGGGAGAGAGGGGGGGGTCAGAAATGTTGCCTGCACTTATTTCCACATTCAGTTTGGCAATTTTCCATCATCTCAAACAAGTGGGATATTTCCTTTTTTATACATTTTTGATATTGAAATTCAGAGACTTGTTGTTGTACTAGCTAGCCCTCTCAGTCTCTGCTACATCTGTTCTCCCTCTATATTGTCCATACC